GAGAGACGCCGGCCTCGTCCGCTCCAAATGGATGGCACTTACGGCTGCTACAAAAAGGTAAACGTGGAAAACGGTGTTTGTGGGATGGGTGGGTGTGTATCCCACACACACATTTGATGTTTCACATTTGGTGGCAAAACAAGTGTGTTCTTGTCTGTTTTCTCATAAACCCTTTGTTGTGGTCGTCTTTATGCAGAGATGGATCAAACAGGTGGAAGATGAGAGCTGCTCGGCCAGTGTGGAGGATGGCACAGAGTCCACCTCCTCCCAGCAAAGCACCAGTAGCAGATCCACACCGAACCCCCTGTCCAGTGGTAATTGCTTCCACACCTCCATCTAAGAAAGCACCAAAGCTAGCAGATCAGTGAAGCATGATTCAGAACTCGTTTGTTTGTAACTGCAAATATAAATAACTGTGGTCCTAGGCTACTTAACGCTCTTGTGTTGTTTTTGTCGTGTTTTTTAAATCACAGAAGTCACTGCGCCTTTTAAAAAGCGTCGCTCCAAGTATATTACAGAAATAACACCAGCACCCTCGGACCACCTGCTTCGCCCGCTATCACCCATCACCCCTCCGCTTCCAGAGGACTCCCTCCACCCACTGCTCCAGACTCCCTGTGGCTCCCTGCTGCCCAACGGTCTGGCCTATTCACCTCTGCCCTCGCTGCCTGCCAGCCGCTGCAACACGCCGTTGCAGTTTGAAGTAAGGGCATAAATATCCACAGTTTTCTGACGCCTGAGCTTATTTACTATCAAAGTCCAGGGAAATCCAACATGCCACGAAGGAGGGTTTAGTGATGTACAAATTTCTGTCACTCCGGGGGAGCTGCACTCCGCTCAGCTGACTCATCTGTGTCAGGACCTGTTGCAACAACCTCACATTACCTCACTTAGTTGTTCAGTCTTGTTGCACAGCAGCAAACTCTAGAAGGGCTGTGTGTAAGCGCCCCTAAACATCTCAATCTCTTGGTTTTGAACAGATTGCAAGACTTCAGGAAAAGACACACGCTTGGTTTGACTCTAATAGACTTTGTTTTGTCTCTAGAACATATCATCCCCTGAGGCGTCTCCTGTCCATCGTCCCGAGTCCATATCCCCTGAGGTACATTTCTTCTCACGTATCATGGCACTGATAAAGGAAATGGCTTTACTGTTGACATAACGATGACGTTTATTTATTTGTTCTTCCCGTTTCCTC